ACACACACACACACACACACACACACACACACACACCAAACACATTGGCATACACACAACCACACGCCATGTCGCACCTGAACCCGAGCCAGCGGCTGACGGCGAGGAACATGTACACGGCGGCCGCGTGTGTGTTCTGGTAGTTGTGCAGGAGATGCACCGCCCTCTCGCCGCCGCCCTGGCTGCGGATTGTCGCAAGACCAGCGAGCGACGTGCTGTTGAAGGCGGTGGTGATGTTGATGGTGTTTTTGTTCGTGTGTGTTTTGCGTGATTTGTGCGTGAGTTGTACGCATGTGTGTGATGGACGTTGTTGATCAAGTAGACGCACACACACACGCACACGCACACACAAACGCACACGAACAAACGTACACAAACAAACACACAAGAACAAACGTACACAAACAAACGTACACACACACACACACACACACACACACACACACACACACACACACACACACACACACACACACACACACACACGCACACACACACACATGGCACCGTACTCACCTGAAGTGCGAGTAGATTGGGGAGCGGCAGATTGCCTCCAGGCGTTTGATTTCGCGGGCGGTGCGGAGAAAATATCCGCGAATGAGGACGAAGATGACGAGAATCGGACCAGCAGCCAGCAGCACCCAGGGGTTGATGGCCGATGCTGACACAAGTGTTGGGTGATTGAATGTGTGATTGCATGTGTGTGTGCGTATGTGTGTGTTCGAATAAGGGAACACGTGAGGGAGCTTGCGTGAACAGATGCATGCAGGAATATTTTGTTGCAATTTCAAAGGTGACAAGCGGGAAAGCATGAGCAAACGCACTGTTCATCGTCACCACCATCACCACCTTCACCATCAGCATCATCATCGTACCCAGGATGATGGTGCCCAAGATGATTCCGATCAATTGGATGAAATCGAGGTATGTTGGCGGCAAAATGTCATCCAAGTACCCCGTGTCCTGCAGTCGTATGGTTGCGTGACAAGTGAGAGAGTGAGAAGAAATACAAGTGGGAGCGGTCGTGGTGGCGACAGTTCGGTTGCAAACACGAGCGTGACCAGGACAACCAAGCAGCCAACATACACATAGAGAGGTGTACACACAAAACACACGCTCTCTCTTCCTCTCGCTTACACACACACACACACACAGGCACACACACACACACACACACACACACACACACACACACACACACACACACACACACAC